ACTCGACGAACACCCGATCGAAGGCCTGCAGACAGCGAAACCCAAACCTCCGAGATTGAGGCGAGCTGCTCGACGCGGAGCCAGCAAATCGGATCGTTGCTCGCGTCGCGAAGAACTCGCAGCACACTGCTCACACACGAACCAGTGGACCAGAAAGCAGAACACGTGGCTGCAGCGGATATGACCTGCCCAAGGGCACCAGTCGAAGTCTCAAGAGAGCGCAACCCCAAGATCCGACTGCCAGCACTCCTGGTTTGAATACTTTGCGAGATGCACCGCGCAGCCTGGCAAGACGCGACAGCTTTCGCCCACGGCGGATGGACAAGGCTCGTCGTTGCTGGACCTTCCAAGTAGCCCGACGCTCATGATCAGTAGCGACCGAGCCTAGGCCCTTCACACCTGGAGCACAGCTGATATACATATATATAGATGTGTGCGTGTATATATATATGTATAGATCTACATGCATGCATGCATGCACGCATACATACATACATAGACATAGTAGTCTGGCCGGAGCCGCCCCAGCTCGATCGACGAGGCGACCGCCAAAGACTTGGGGCCGACAAGGCATCAAAGTGCAGAAATGCCCCGCTGGAACTCAGCAGCGGCAGGTAACAAGCAGCGACAGATGAAAGGTGGGACCTTGCAGGTACTGGGCAATGTTATCCATGCATGACCTGGTGGGAACACGCACATGTTGGAGATCTCCAAAGACTCAAGGAGTCCCATTCTGAACCTCCTCCAGAACACCGTAGAGGTAGCATTTGACCCAGGGCACATTCTGACTACAACCAGCCAAGATAGACCCCCAGGCAGCAATAAACCCCGAGAGACTTCCAGACACTTCCAGGAGCCTCGGAGAGGCGTGGATGAGAAGCCCCGAATAAAGCAGAAGTCCAGGATAGCCTTGGCCGGCGGCAAGCTGCAACAGCCTACTGGGGGAGACGGAATCAAAGAACTTCTCGAGGCCTCAATGAAGCCTACAGGATTGAGAACCACAGGCATGGGCCACCTCATGGGCCAGCCCCCATATACAGCGTAGCCTCCATGGCCGAAGATCCGTTCCAAGCAGAGTCCCAAACATCCAAGTGGCTCTTGTTCCAATCGTCAATGTCGAAGCCTCTTGCTTCAAAATGAATCGAATGAATGCTGGGGCACTGCGCGATAATACGTCCATCGCAAATGGACGTGGGGGCCATGACCACGATGCAAAAGTAGCACTCCACCATCCTGGGGCCACCAGTGAAAAATTCAAGGGCATCCACAGGAGCATCGAGCAAGGCACGAGGCGACCACATGTCAACGCCAGCAGACTTGGCAGCCTTGGCGAATTACACGCGCGAGCAATATCTGGCACCTCACGCGCAGGAATCCCCCCCCCCCCCCAGAGCGACCAATGCCTGAGAACGCAACTCGCCCATGCCATCGCTCAAGCAGGCGAGCTGATGGGACGAAGGGGCCCACCATGAGGTCAATCTTCTTCCACGTGAAAACTCGGCATGGCCTCGGGGGCATCGACGACGCCTCCAGGAGTCACTCAACCCAAAACATTCTCCTCTGCGTTCAGATAGCGATGAAAAGGGATAGCCCCGTGGGGGAGTGATGTCTGCAACCAAGTCTTCATACTATATTGAACATTAACACGAGCCAATGACCAGGCATTAGCACACACAGCACACACAGCACTACATGCACCCACAAGATTACGCAACGCCCCATCATTCCGCGGGGGGGGTACCGAGCATGTCTTTCCAACTACCAGCACCCCCAGGAGACGGGCGGGGCTCGACGCGGGCAAAGACGCCAGAGGCCAAATCCGACAGGACGGCGCGGCGCTGCCGAGCAGCACTCGAAAAAAAGGTGACTTGCGAGCAAGTTCCCACTACTCATGCGACCTGCTGGATACCAGCGACCAATGGGATAAGTCCGGATTCAAAAAAAACTGCGCCCGCACACCGCGAGTCAACAGAGACACGTCCTTTCGCTTCAGCATGGGACCTCAACCAATGTATCTGGCAGGACGAAAAATGAGCGCACATCCACGCGAGAGAGCACGCAACTCCATGACACAAGACCAGGCAAGGTACAACATTCCCAAATTTCGAGACAACCACTCTCTGGTATGTTCTGACATGGCCTCGTAGACGTCCGCAGGCATCACCAAGGGTGCTCGAGGACATCGGGCGTGGCAGCCGCCATATGCGTAAGCCAGCGATCATCGGGGCCCAGGGCTTCAGGCGCCTCCAGAGGTTTAACCCGCTGACAAAGTGGCTCGAGATTCAACACCACGTCCACACGCATGGGTCTTGAAGGGGGGCAGGAGCTCGGCAAACACGGACAGGCACGGGCACAACAAGGGCGAGCAAAGCACATCGTTAATCATAGCTTCGCCCCCGGAACAAGTGAACTCGACGTTTTTGGGGAACGAGGGCCCCGGCATTCAACCGCTCCAAGACACCGGCGCCCCCCGGGAAATCAACCGACATGTTGATATCGCCCGTAAGAAACCGGAGGGAATACACAAACCTCGAACAAACTGCGCAACGCCACGCCAACGATTCGAGTTTTCTCCAGATACTCCAATCCACAGGACCAGGTAGATGATTGCCACCGCACAGGACTTGAGACGCAGCTCAAGGAAGAACCAGCAATCACCAGAAGCGACCTGCACTGCTCCCTTTGCGTGCACGAGAAACTTCCAAAAACGCAGTCGAGACTGGAAAGCAGCCGCAACTCCACCATGAGTCCCCCCCCCGGCCATGGGAGTGCGCCCCGGGAAGATGGGGGCCGCTCCGTGTGGCGACAATTCGTCACGGCCTGGAAGCAGCCAGGCCATCGCCGACGATGTGCAACCATGAATACCGCATCGACCTCAAAAACCATAGTTGCTGGAAAACCATGAGTGATCTTAGACCAATGAGTGATGTTCGCAAACGTAAATTTCACATGAGTGGCCACCTCTCGAGCAAGAGGACGCGCGCACTCGCGCGGCCGACTCCCCGCCCCTTGACAGACGGCAACACATACCACACCAGGGGGAAGAGGAAAACACGCGGGCAGCCGACTCTCCGCGTCATGACAAGCGGTAGCACGCACCGCCTCGCTATGAAAAAGAACAACGCAAGCACGCATCCGACTCCCCATCTTATGACAGGCGGCACGCACCACATCGGGAGGACGAGGCGGAGAGAACTCGCGCGGCCGACTCTCCGTCCAATGACAGGCAGCAGCACGAGGGGAGGGGAAGGGCTAAACACGAGACCGAGGGTTGGCAGAGGCCGCTGCGGCCTCGCAAGTGGTCTCTGGATTGCCATCGCCTCCAATCTGAACTCCAACAGGTCCAAACCGAACCATTCTGCTGGGCAGTGGCACTGTAGAAGGTACGGTACCTGTCACCGGTGACCGATTCAGCAACACGCGCACGCTTGACAGACTTGGCCACCAGCCGCTTCTGGAGCAGGTCGGCGTAATCCTTGGCGGCGGCCGCAGCCAAGCCACCGTCCGCAGCGCGCTTCTTGAGCCCACGGAAATGGTCACGGTCGTCAGGCTCCAGCGCATCGTCGACAACCTCCGAGCCGAGGATCGAGAAATCATCGTCGGGCTGACCGCCGCGCATCCGCTGAAGATGGACACGGTACTGCTTCCACTGAGCGAGCTGGATACCTGTGAACCGAACCATAAATTCAAGTGTAGCGCCATCGAAGTCCTGGAGATGGGCCTCAACGTACACGAAGTCCACCAGGCGACCACGAGACCAAGGCACATCAGGAGGCACATCTTGACCCGCGGGTGCCATGGCGAGGTCGGCCGTGCCCGCTGCAGCGCCAGGCGGGGGGGCGCCAGCCCCGCCTGCAGCGCCAGCTGGCACAGCCGCCGCATGCTGCTGAGCACCAACCGCAGCAGCGCCAGGAGGACCGCCGCCAGCAGGACCAGCATGTGCCGAAGCAGCACGTAGCCGATCTTGCTCAGCACGCTGAGCCCGAACTTCTCCACCCTTCGCACGCTTGAAGACTGCGGGGTCAAATATATTGTTCGCATGCTCGGCCTGGCAAGTGAGGGCCTTGGTCTCCTCCAGGACCTGCAAAGCATGAATGCGATTATGCTCCTTCTCCTCCAGGATCTTCTTGGTCTTGGCGAACTGCTCGAGCCTCCACTGCACCTCCTGGACGGCGAGGCGCTCGTTCCTGGTAGCACTCTCCACCTTCTTGGCCAGCGCACACTGCTCCGCCGACACCAGCCTGTCCAGGTCCTGCCCCGAGCAGTCAGCAACAACATCGGGCGCTGGCAGTGAGGCTTGCGGGACCACCCCGCCAACTGCGGGCAGAAGGGGGCCCAAGCATGCAGCGCCCGGACGAGCTCTGGAGGCATAGGCGCGGGCACCGCAGCAGCACCCTGGACACCTCTGTTGTGTCGGGGGGGAATCTCCATGAGATTCGTCAGTGCTACCAAGATGAACCTTGTTGTCAACGTACGGGCACGAACACTTGCTGCACCGTTGGTGCCCGTACCGGGTATACTCCCAATGGCCGCATGTGCTGCACACACGGTAGGAGTTCTCTTTCGTTTTCTTCGGTTTCTCTGGGGGCATCCATTGCCATGAGCCACCAGCAGAGCCATCACGCCAAGGAGCACGACGGTGCCACGCCAGGGCGGGGACGCAGCTGCCGTGGTGCTCGGAGAGAACTTGGATATCGCGCTCACGGCGCAGTCGCCCCCTCGCCTGAGCCCTACGCCGTCGCTGGCGGCGGTGCCAGGCGGGGGAGCGCGCACGGGCCGTGGTGGCGCTCGGGGCGATCGCTGGCGGGCCGCGCGGCCCAGGACAAAACGGCTGCGCGGGGCCCGCAACGAGCCACCTCAAGGAGAAGGAGAAGCAGAGGGAGGACGAGGAGGAGGAGAGGGAGAACGAGAAGGACGAGGAGGAGAAGGAGGAGGAGGAGGACGGGGACGAGGACGAGGAGGACGAGGCGGAGGTACAGCGGGAACGCGGCCCGGCGAGCCTGCAGCAGTGGCCCGAGCAAGCGGCACCCAAAGGCCCCGCGCAGCCGCGAGAGGCGCTCGGCCCGCGGCTCCTCGCGCGACCGACTGTTCTTCATTCTCCAGAGCCTCCTCCAACTGCTTCCTCCTCCTCCTCCTCCTCCCTCCTCCCTCCTCCCTCCTCCCCCTCCCTCCTCCTCCTCCTCCTCCTCTTCCTCCTCCTCCTCCCTCTTCCCTCTCTCCTCCTCCTCTCTCCCTCCTCCTCCTCTCCTCCTCTCCCCCTCTCCCTCCTCCTCCTCTCCTCCTCCTCCACCAACATTCCTCCTCCTTCCTCTTCCTCCTCCTCCTCCTCCTCCTCATCCTACTCCCTCCCGTCTCCGCCTCCTCATCCTCCCCCCCTCCTCCTCTTCTCCTCCTTCCCTCCTCCTCCTCCTCCTCCTCCTCATCTCCCTCTACTCCTCTCCTCCTCTTCTCCTCCTCCTCCTCTCCTCCTCCTCCTCCTCCTTCTCCTCCTCCTCCTCCTCCTCCTCCGCCTCCTCCTGGGGGGGAGGGTGGGAACACTGGTTTTCATTCGCATCTCGGACTTTCCTCGAGTCATCCTCCTCCGCCTCCTCCCCCGATACTTCGGCTGTGAGGGCTGATGCTCGAAGTGTAAGGCGTGTCCGGGAAGGTGCAGCGGAGAGTTGATGCTTGTACCCTAAGCTTGGTTCCCCCCCTTGCTGCGCGCCTCTCTGGGGTGCCGCCTAGAATGGGACAACGCGGGTGGCGCCGGACAAACAAAATGTGTTGCTAGCGAGGTCAAAGCGCGCGCCGCGCTGGCCACCCGGAAGGTCCAGGAAAATGTGATTTCCGTCTGTCCTCTCCTCCAAGATGGCCCCAAGATGGCCTCCAAGACGGCTAGGATGGCCTCAAGAAGGTCCAAATTGCCCCAATGGCCTTCAATATGGTGCCAAGATGCTTCCCGGACAGCCAAGATGGTCTAAGAGAGCTCACGACGGTCAAAGGAGCTCACAAGAGGCCCCCGAAACGGCTCCACAGTCCTCCAGAAAGTCCTCCACGAAGGTCCGAAGAGGCCAAAATCATTGCTTGCCCTTGGCTTGTTTCGGCCGTCCTTCCTTTCGGCCTTCCGACGGCCGAGGACAGCCCAAGAGGCCCCAAAGATCGCCCCAAGATGGCCCCAAAGGCCTCCAAGATGACCCCATGACGGCCCAAGAAGCCTCCAAGACGGCCCCGAGATCCCAGTTCGCCCAAACACGGCCAAAGAGGGTCCAAGATGCCTCGAAGTCCGTCCAAGAAGCCTCCAAGACTGCCCAAGACGGCCCAAGAGGCCCCCACGAGGCCTCCAAGACGCCAAAGATGGCTTCCAAGAAGGCACTGAAGCACCCCAAGAGGGCCCAAAGTTGGTTCAGAGAGGCATCCAAAACGACTTCCGACGGTTTCAGACGGGCCAGGAACGCCCGAAGACTGACAAAGCGGCCCCGAACAAGCCCCCGAAGACTCGCTCTAAGAGGCCCAAGGAGGCCGAGAAGAGACCTCCAAGAGGCCCCCAGTAAGCTCCCAGGAGACCCCAAGAATGCCCCGATATGCTTCTATGAGGCCTCCTCCTCCTCCTTCTCCTCCTCCTCCTCCTCCTCCTCCTCCTCCTCCTCCTCCTCCTCCTCCTCCTCCTCCTACTCATTCACCTCCTCCTACTCGTTTTCCCTTTTTCTCCTCATTATCAAGCTCTGAGTCCTTCTTGGGGTCGGCGGAATTGTGTAAGTCACTTGAGCAAACCTTTGGACCTCTACTTGGGTACGCTGTGGCCAGAGTTTCAAGGGGAACATTGCCATGTCGCAAAGAGCGCCTCAGGAGGCCCAGAATAGTAAACAAAGCAGCATGAAAAAAAAAGAGAGACAGCGTCTGCGACGCGCCGCGTAACGGGTTCGGAACCAGCTCTACGCAGCAGTTGTTGGAATCCCCTCTTTCCCAATCAAGCACCTCCTATCATCTGACCCGCATTTCCCTCGGAATCCCATTCCTCCATGGGGGAGATAGGATCCAGGATCAAGGAACGACAGGTCAGCCGCCACGCCTCCGGTATCGAGGGGGAGGACGAGTTAGAGGAGGAGGAGGAGGAGGAGGAGGAGGAGGAGGAGGAGGAGGAGGAGGAGGAAGGGGAGGGGAGAAGGAGGGGGAGGAAGAGGGGGGAGGGGGAGGATGAGGAGGAGCACCCTATATCCAGGATCCAGGATTGAGGGTCAATAGAAAGGCAGGGGGCTTCTCAGAGGCCCCTGTCGGCTTCCAAAAACTTGGCGTACTTCTCAGAATCCTCAGGGCCCTTCCGGAGGAAGGCATACCCCCTCGCGCCACCCTCCTGTGAACACCTCCAGCTGCCAACCGAGACGGAAAACAAAAAGGACGACGCCCGGCAGCAAGCGGTGTCCCCCAAAAAAACAGCATCGGCCTCTGCGGGCATCGTCCGTCGCACGCGGCCGAGAAAGCCCGCGGCGACACCGATGGCGAGCCCTGCTCCAAACGGCGGGTTCGCGTCGTGCCGACTTCGGCGTTGGCTCCTGACAACGCGGGGATCGTTCAACCTTGAACATTCGGCCGTGTCCAGAACGTCCGACCGTCTTCAACATCGACCGGCTCTGGGCCGTCAGAGGCGTTCAGCGTTGATCCCGCACGATCCTGCAAGATCCTGCAGGATCCTGCACGCAAGCCGGGGTCAGTGCAGCCCTGGCTTCGCAGGATCCTGCAAGCTCCAGCGCTCTGGCTGACCCCCGTTTGCGTTGACTGGGGAAACCAAAAGGTACCGATACCGCTGCCCCCCGGACCTCTCTCGGGGTGCGTTCTGACCAGAATTTCGATGCGAATCCAGCCGTGGCGACGAGGGCCTCCGAGGAGGCCCGAAAAGGGGAAAACGGGCGAGGGGGTAGAGGTATGGGGACCTTCTCCTCCTCCGAGTGACCCCCGCCTCGAGGCCCCCGAGGGAACGCCCTCCCAGAAGCCTCCGGGGCCATCCCGAGGAGGCCGCGAGCTGCCTTCCAGGAAGACCCCCCGCCACCTCCCAGAAGGCGGCCGCCGCCCTCGCGCCACTCCCCGCAGTGCGGGCCGCTCAAGAGGCTCCCCGATTTTTCGGCGCCTCGAGTTCTCAGGACGGGGCCCCCAAGGCTCCGGCCCTTTCCCTTCGACATTGGGCGGAAAGGGGGGGGGATCCTCCTCCTCCGCCCCCTCCTCCTCCGCCTCCTCCTCCGCCCCCACTTCCTCCACCTGGAGGGCGGGGGTCTGGCTCCGGACCTCTGCTTCACGCGACTGTTTGCAACAGCGCGTCCCATGGGGGAGGCTCCACCTGCTGGAGACAGGCGCCAAGAACACACACGATCTACTCCATGGGGGGTGACGGGGGAGGGGGAGTGCGAGGGCCCGCGCCGAACGGCAAAATAGTGAATAAGAAAACGCTCATGTCCTGAGCCACTGTTTGACTTGACGGCCCTGGGGCCCAGAGAAGGCCCCCCCAGAGGCCAAAGACGGCGGAGGTCTGCGACCTGGGGTCTGTGCGCTTGGCGAACCCCGCCGCGGCGACGAGGAGGCCCAGGAGAGGGAAAAAAACACCCCAAACACCCAAGACAGATGAGGACCGAGAGTAGAAGAAAAAGCCGCATGGACAGAACCTCGAAGCTCCGCGCAGATTTCTCGGATCTGCTCTGGGCCCCCCCCCCCCGGCAGCGCCTCTGGCGCCGCCCCTGGCGCGCGGAGGGCGCCAGGGAGGGGGCCCAGTGCCTATCGACAAAATCAGCGCGGAGCTCCGAAAGTTGATGTTTACGCGGTTTTGTTGATGGGCCTGTTTTCCACCACCACTACCATAGGTAGGGGAGGGAGGAGGAGGAGGAGGAGGAGGAGGAGGAGGAGGAGGAGGAGGAGGCACCACCAGACCGAAACGAGTGCGCAGAGCAGCAGCAGTGACAGCGAACGAGCAGAAAAAAGGACGAGCACGCGCAACTCGACGGGATCGGCAAAAAAGCCCGGCGATCCAAGACAGAGCCAAAAGCAGGCATCGCCCGTATAGAGAGAAGTGGGCAGGGGTCCCCCCGCCACTCCCCCGAGATGGGGTCCTTACCCGCCTCGAGGGACTTGAGGTAGGTGGCGTCCTTACTGGATGCAATGCCCTCGCAGTGGCCCCAGCGCCGCGAGCGCGGGGCCGTCGGCTGGCCCCGCGCGCCGCACCGAAGGCAGAGTGCAAGGGTACTCCAGATTTCGTAATACAAGGGAGGGGGTCTGGACCCTCCAAGACAAGCCATTTCAGACCTCACCCATGGGAGAACCCTCCAAAACATCGTCCCCAGACCCCCCAGGCCCTCCAAGATAGCCTGGAAGAGACCCCCCCCTGAAATGAGACCCCCCTCCCTTTATTACGAAATCTGGAGTAGCTCCAGCAAGGCGGATCTGGTGTCCCCGAGCGCTACTGGGCCCAACAGGGCCTTGCGCGGGGAGGCGGGGGGCAACAGGGAGAACAGCATCACGCGCGGCCCAGGACCCCCCTCCGCAGCGGACCCCCAGAGGTCCGAGCCCTCTTGCAGGGCGGAGGCCCACAAGGGCAGGAGGAGGAGGAGGAGGAGACCGTCATACCTACGGTAGTGATGATGGAAAATTAGCCCATCATTTGTTCCTCCTCGAGAAAAGGCGGGGATCGCACCGAGCCCACGGGCGAGGCGAGGCGAGGCGCCGACATACACGTCCAGAAGGACGGCCCCACGAGAGCACGGCGGTTGGGCCGGAGCCTGGGCTACACTGTGGATTCGTGGGTCACCCATGAGCGCGAAAGCTCACAGAGGAGGAGGCAGGGCGACGACGACGAAGAACAAGAATCAGCACAGTTTGGCAAAATGCCTAGACCTCCAAGGAGGCCAGCCAAACGCCAACGAAGAAGTGGACGTTTCTGAACCCCCCCCAAACAATGCTCTCTCTTTGGGGCACATGGTTTGGTTCCGCTGGCTTCCGCCGGCCTTCCACCAGCTTCCGCCGGCGGAGGCGCCCCCGTTTCACTGCCACGGGCTTCCGCCGCCCTTCCGCCGCCTTCCGTCGAAGAAAGGACAGCAATTCCTCGATCCCTCGAAGACGAGGGCGTCCTTGAGGGATGGAAAACACGCCCCGACCCTGGGTTACGAGCGCGTGGTCTCTAAACCTCCCGGGAGCCCCCAAAAGGACACAGAGCCACCAGGTCGCCGAGCGGCACACGCGCGCTGCGCAGGCTTTTTACTCTGACGGTTCACGGGAGCTTCGGCGCACGGCACCTCGTAAAGCAGGGCGGGGGCGTTCCCTTCCGCCCCCTGCTTCCTGGAGCGCGCCACGTGTCAGCATGCACACGGAGAGAGAGAGAGAACCAGGGCCGGGGATGAGGTCGGACGTGTGCCCCTACAGGCGGGCCCTGGCCGAAAAAGGAGCAATAGCCACAAAATACTCACACAAATGTTCAAACCATGCTCAAACACTCGTCGCCTTACTACTTTTTGACTATGCTTAGATTCTTGTTTACTACTCGTCTCCTTACTATGTTTGCCTACTTTTGAGCACGCCTCCTGTAGAGGGACAGGCCCGACTGCAACGGCGAGGGAGAGCGAGGGCCGAGGATCGACGCACGGCGGGCCCCCTCCGCCACGCCTCGGGGGGCTCGGCCGCCCCGTGCTGGCGCAGCAGCTCCGCCGACGCGCTGCAGGCCGCGGCCGCGGCAGCGTCGCCCGCGCCGCGGAGGCGCGAGGCGGCCTCCTGCGGGGGGGCGGCAGGGCGCGGCTCGAGGACCGAGGTGGGAGGGCCGAGGCATCCCGAGAAGATCGCTCGGGGTTCCACATCTGGCATTCGGTCGGGCGTGTCCATCTACAGGCGGACTTGGGGCGAAAATTGCATCAACAGCAACAACAACAGCAACAGCAGCAGCAACAACAACAGCAACCACAACCACCACCACCACCACCACCACCACCACAACAACAACAACAACAACAACAACAACAACAACAACAACAACAACAACAACAACACAACAACAACAACAACAACAACAACAACCACAGTCAATCTACAGGCGAACGTGGGGCGAAAATTGCATCAACAGCAACAGCACAGCAACAGCAGCACAACAACAACAACAGCAACAACCACCACCACCTCCACCACCACCACAACAACAACAACAACAACAACAAAACCACAACAACAACAACAACAACAACAACACCAACAACAAACAACAACAACGCAACTGCAACAGCAACAGCAACAGCAACAACAACAACAACAGCACAGCAGCAGCACAGCAGCATACAACAACAACAACAACAACAACACAACAACAACCAACAACAACAACAACAACAACAACAACAACAACAACAACAACCAACAACAACAACAACAACAACAACAACAACAACAACAACAACAACAACAACAACAACAACAACAACAACAACAACAACAACAACAGCAGCAGCAGCAGCAGCAGCAGCAGCAGCAGCAGCAACATCAACAACAACAACAACAACAACGACGAAGACGACGACGACGACGACGACAACAACAACGACAACAACAACAAGCATTCAAACACGGTCAAAAAAAGCAAAAAACGTCCCCTTGATGGTTGTACTACTTTTGAGTGTTCCTCCTGTAGAGGGACGTGCCCGACTTACATCTGGCAAGATCGTTGCGTGAACCGCTCGGCGCAGGCGGGGTGTGGGCAGGACTGCGGCAGCGCTTGCCCCCACTTCCGTGGCCAGATGCCTCACAGAGGCCCCGCCGAGGGCCGTGCTCCGCAGCACGCTGCGAACTGCACAGGAGGAGGAGGAGGAGGAGGAGGAGGAGGAGGAGGAGGAGGGGAAGTAGTCATTGAGGCTCGAGTTTGCTGGGGAGCCAGTCTGGCAGCTCCCGGGCCGCCTCGCGGCCCCGGCCGGGCTCGCCTCGAAGTGCTGGCCAGAACGCAGCCCAGGCCCGGCCCAGGGGCCCATCTTGAAGCCCGGGCAGCACAGAGGTCGGGGGCCGGCACGAGGGCAGGGCCCCTTCTGAGCTCCAGGGCCCAGTTGGAAGCCAGCCAGGGCGGGGACAACACATGACCGGGACAACTCGGGGATCCGCGGGGAGGGCAGCGGAAGAGGCCCGCAGGACCTGAGGAGGAGGAGGAGGAAGAGGGAGGGAGGAGGAGGGAGGGGAAGAGGAGGAGGGAAGAGGAGGAGCAGGGAGGAGGAGGAGGAGGAGGAGGAGGAAGAAGAACAGATGCATCGGGCGCCGCGGCTGGTCCAAAGCGCTCTGGAGCACGGCGGAGAGCGTTCGTCCTCCTCCCGCCTCCCCCCCAGGGCGGCCGCATGCCCCCCGGGGCGCGCGCCCGCGCCCCTGCGGGGAGGGTGGGTGGGAGGGAGGAGGAGGAGGAGGAGAGGAGGATAGGAGGAGGGAGGATAGGGAGGATGAGGAGGAGTAAGATAGTCGAGGAGGAGGAGGAGAGGAGAGATGAAGGAGGAGGGAGGAGGAGGAGGAGGCGAGGAGAGAGGAGGGGGGAGGAGGACGCTCTGGCACGACTTGCCCGTCCGAAGAAGGGAGGAGGAGGAATGGGAGAGGGAGGAGGGAGGAGGGAGGGGGGGGGGAAGGGAGGAGGCAGGGAGGGAGGTGGCCCTCTCAGCAGCCTCCAGGGGGCCCCTTGTGAGGGGTGCTCTGCCTCCTTCTGAAGGCCGGCCCCCTCGCCCCACACCCCTGCGCGCGCCGTCCGCGACGACGTCGTCGTCGTCGTGGTCGTCGCTGTCACCCCCGCCGTCGCCGCCGTCGCCGCAGCCGACGGCGGCGCCCGACCAAGATGTCGCCAAGCTCGGTCCCCCGGCCCCTCCCGGGGTCTGGCCTGGCCGCTTCCTCGAGCCCCGCCCCCGGCCGCGGCAACGAGAACCGTCAGGAAACCCTCCAGATCGCTCAAAACAAAGGCATTCGAAACGACGACGACGACGACGACGAAGGCGACGACGACGACGACGCTGACGACAAAGACGAAGACGAAGACGAAGACGAAGACGACGACCACGACGACGACGACGACGACGACGACGACGATGACGACGCTGACGACGTGCCACGCGGGCGACATCGGACGTGAGGCGGCGGGAGGACGCCGTCTCTGGGGGGGACTACAGGAGGAACTGTAATTAGAATCGAAAAAAACACATACACATCGGAACTACGTGCGGACCTCTGATCGCTTATCATTCTGCCGTTTCTTCATCGACTTATTGAAAATTGGCAGAATCCCCCCTAGCGAAACACCTTTTACAGGAAACGCTCTGGGTACCAGACCCCGCGGCCCCGGGGTGGTTCATCACCACCACCACCGCCATCATCACCACCACCATCACCATCACCACCACAATCGTCACCACCGTCATCACCATCACCGACCACCGCCACCACCATCTCCATCGCCACCACCGACCACCGCCACGGCCACCATCGCCACCAGCATCACCATGGCCACCACCGACCACCACCACCACCGACCACCGCCACCACCGACCACCCTCGACACCACCATCACCATCGCCACCACCGACCGCCGCCACCGCCACCACCACCACCCTCGCCGTCACCATCACCATCGCCACCGCCGACCACCGCCACCACCACCACCAGCGTCGCCGACCACCGACCACCACCACCACCACCGCCGCCACCACCGCCGCCGCCGCTCACCGACCGCCGCTCACCGACCACCGCCAGCATCGCCACCACCGACCAGCGCTAGGATTAGGTCGGGCATGCCCTCCTACATGCGGAATTTGACGAAAAAACAGAAATGGTCAAACAATATTGAAGAATCCCACCAGCCCTCTGGGCTTAGGTGTATAACGCGTTTTTTCTTCTCTCTTCCACTGAAGCCCCTCCCCCTACCCCCTCCCCTGGGCCTGGACGGGGCGCGCCGCGAGGCGTTAGAGCGTCCAAGATGGCCCAAGATTGCTCCAAAAGGCGTTCAAAGTCGCAAGATGGCCTCCAAGATGGCCCATGTTACTTCAAGATGGGTCAAGATAGCCTCCGACCTACCCCCAAGAGGCCCCAAGACAGCCCCAAGACGGATCCAAGCGCCCTTCGAGCCCTCCACGGCGCTGTCCAAGATGCCAAAACCCTTCAAAAACCTAAGGAAAGTCAATGTACTTACCGCTAGGAGAGCCCCGCCGGGCAGAGCCCCCCCCCGGGGGGGCTCTCTCCTGCAGCGGCGTCGCGCCGAAGCGGCCGCTGGCGTCCGGGCACGCCCCGGCGTCCAGGAGCCGGGACACCGCCTCTCAGGGGGGTGCGAGGCGCCGCCGCCCCCCCCTCGGAGGACCCGGGGCGAGGCCGAGCTCGAGGGGGGGGGGGTGGAGCGAATCTCGAGGATCCAGGAGGAGGAGGAGGAGGAGGAGGAGGAGGAGGGGGGGGAGGAGGAGGAGGGGGAGGAGGGGGGGAAGGGGGAGGAGGAGGAAGAGGAGGAGAAGGAGGAGGAGGACGAGGCCCAGATCGGGTGAGGAAGCACCGATGATCCAGGCCGAGGGTAGAATCGGGCGAGGATCAATCGAGGACCCAGAACAGCGATGCAGCGGGCGCCGCGGCCTTCTCAGAGCGCTCTGATAACCCTCCGAGAACGCTCTGGAACGGATCTGTCCTCGTCCTGACCCCGTCCGACCTCGTCCTCCTCCTCGACCTCCTCGTCCGAGGTGAGTCAGCGCCTCTCGAGGTCCCCCTCCCGAGGTCCTCTTCATGCGCTCGCGACCTAAACGCTACAGTCAACCCGCTAGGATACAAGGGCCTTGGAAGGCCATGTCGACCCTTTGCGAGCGGGGCGCGGCCAGCGGAAGCGGCCAAGGATGGGCCGAATGCGAGGGCAACCTTGGAAGGTTGGTCATCCTTGCTATGCGGGTTGACTGTCTCGGATCGACGCTGGAACCCCTCCCTGGCGCCTGAGGCGCTGCCAGGGGGTCCCAGCGCCGATCCTAGAAATCAGCGCGGAGTTCCGAAAGTATAAACTGGGCATCGCTCAGACGTCCATTCCCTGTTTTTTTTCGGTTTCGTGCGTGGCTTTTTCGCCAACTGATCAAGGATGCTCCGCGATTGTCCTCGCCGAAGGAAAAATGCACACGTCCGAGCGATGCCAAGTAAAGGCTGGTCCCTTCGGACTTCGAGGGGCCTCTTCCCAGCTGGGGTAGTGGGACGGCGGAGCCGAGACACCCTGGCCCGGTGGGGATGGGGATACGTTCGGTGGCAACTCACGGGAGCCTCCCATACCATCTTGCTAACCCTTGCGAATCGAGGCTAATCGACGCCGATCGATGCTAAATCGACGCTAATCAACGCTAAATCGTCGCCAGTTCATCGATTGTCAGACGCTAATCGACGCGAGTGCACTCCAAAGACGAGGTTGCGACGGTATACAGGGCTCCCATGAATTGGTACCGAGACTGGTCGGGATGGGGATGGGGATAGGTTGAGCGCGCCCCGCGCGCCAGGGAGGGGGATCCAAGGCCGATCCGAGAAATCCACGAGGAGCTGCGACAGTTCATGCTTATGCCCCTGTTTGCCTCTCTCTCTCTGTCTCCCTCTCTCTTTCTCTTTCTCTGTTTCTCTCTCTCTCTCTCTCTCTATATAGTAATGAATCGATACATAGAGCGATTGGTAGATTGGTAAATAGATAGGCAGACATATAGATTGATGGATTGATAAATAGACATCTATATATACACATGTGTATATATATATATAAGTGTGTGCGTGTCCAGGGCCGAGTCCAGAGATCAGCGAGGACCTCCGAGAAACTCTATGCTTGTGCAAGGTTTGCTCCCCGAGAGATGTCCTGGCCCAGTGGGGATGGGGTTCTGTGAGACGATACTGGTCTACGAGTTGTACCCTACACGCAAGACGAAGACAGGAGGGGATACATCGAGAACCCAGGAAGAGGATAAAATCGGGCGAGGACCAATCAAAAATCCAGGTTGAGGATAGAAATCGGGTTAGGACAAATCGAGGATCTCTGAGATCCGGCGGCTCTGGAGGATGCATCGGGCGCCGCGGCCTTCTCGGTGCATTCTGGGAGCGCTCCGAGAGCGTTCCAGAAAGCTCTGGAACGGGTTTGTCCTCGTCACGGCCCCGTCCCAAGACACATACCCACACGCACACACACACACACACACACACAGGCACACACACACACAGACACACACTCACACAAAGGCACCTCTGGCGCGGCGCCGGCGCACACCGCCACCAGCAGCGCCGGAGACCCCTCGCCGTCCACCGCGGTGAGGTCGGCGCCTCCCCGGGGGGCCGCCGCGGGCCGTGCGGGGAGGAGGCCCCCCCTGCTACGGAGCTCGGCGGCGCGGCCCTCTCCGAGACGAGGGGCGCTCGGCGGCGCGGGAGGCCCCGCTCGGGAGAGGGCCGGCGCGAGGCGGCCTCGACGCCGGCGGCGGCGGCGGCGAAGGCCTCGACGACGACGGCAAGGACGACGACGCCAACGGCGACGCCAACGGCGATGACGAAGCTGCAGACGACGACGACGACGCCGCCGACGCCGACGCCGACGCCGACGCCGACGCCGACGCCGACGCCGCCGACGACGACGACGACGAACGACGACGACCGACGACGACGACGACGACGACACGACGCGGCGGCGGCGGCGGCGGCGGCGGCGGCGGCGGCGATGCCGACGACGACGACGACGGCGGCGGCGGCGGCGGCGGCGGCGGCGGCGATGCCGACGCCGACGCCGACGCCGGCGGCGCCGGCGCCGGCGCTCGGGGGCGCGGGGGGAGGGCGGGCCGTCGCGCGAGAGGGAAGGCGCGGGGCGACTGTCTGCGGGGACCCCCGGGCCATGGCGTGGCAGCCGTGGCGCGCAGCGGGCGGCCGCGCCCGGCGGCGGGCCGCCAAGCTGTGGGAAGCCCCACAGAGGTCGGTGTGCGGCGCGAGGCCTGGCGCAGGAGGAGGGGGGCGCCTGGGGCGCTGGCCCCTGCCGTCGCTCGAAGGTCTGGGGATTATTTGGGGGGGCATTTTTGGACCATTTTTGGGATTATTCTTGGGGGGTAACCGCATGCCGAGGATAATTCGCCGGCCCAACGGGTCAGAGGCGTGCTAAGATCTCCGGTAACTGGTTAACAATTCTCTAGTTCGCGCGCGCGGGGCGGCCCCTGGGGGTCCCCGGACGAAAAGTACCCCGGGCGACTCCCGGCTGATCCCCGGGCGAAGCCACCAGAGTGCTCCATGAGCGCACCAACAGGGCTCCGAGACGCCCCCGAGAGCCCCAAGAAAGGCCAAGAGGCCCCCAAGAGGCCCCCCACGAGGGGTCCGATGGATCGCTCCAAGACGCCCAAGATAGCCCCCAGACGCCCCAAGAGGCCTCCAAGAGCACTCCCAAGAGGGCCCCCGGAGGCAAAATTCATTGTTTTTCCTTAGGTTTTTGAGAGATTTTGGAGCTTCCACCTTTTCGGCTTCCCGACGCCCCAAGACGGCCCAAGAGGCCCCCAAGATCGCCCCAAGAGGGCCCAAGAGGCCCCCAAGAGGGCCCCAAGATGGCCCAAGAGGGCTCGAAGACAGCCCAAGAAGCCTCCAAGACGGTCCAAGAGGGCCCCAAGAACGCCCCCAAAGGGGCCCCAGAGAGGGAACACGAAACAACATTTCGAGCCCTCGGCCCTAAGAAGCCCCTACGAGGCCCCTAAGAGGCCCCAAGAGGCCCCCACGGGGCCCTCAGGAGGCCCCCAAGAGTCCCCCAAGCGGCCCCAGGAGGCCCCCCAAATGCCCCCCCGAGCGCCCCAGGAGTCCCCCAAGCGGCCCCAGGAACCCCCAAAGCGCCGCATTGACACCAGGCCCTCGGGCAAACGGCAGACATGAGACTGTATGGGCCGGCGGAATGAGCGAAGCGATTAAATAAAGTACCCCCCCCCCTTAAGTCGTTAGAGTTTTTCATCGTCGGCCTAGAAGGGTTTCAAATATAGGCGGAGGGCGCGGAGACCGAACTTCATTATCACTGGGAAAGTTCGCCATCGAGGTTACTTCCTTCTTATGTTGAGTAAAGCAGTGCTTAAGGAATCCTGTCCTGGTTCTCCTCCTCCTGCTCCTCCTCCCTCCTCCTCCCTCCTCCCTCTTCCTTCCTCTCTCTCTCTCTCTCTCTCTCTTTCTCTTTTTCTTTGTGTTGCTTTCTATTTCTCTCTCTCTCTCTGTCTCTCTCTCTCTCTCTCTCTGTCTTTCTTTCTCCTCCTCCCTCTGGCGCCCTGAACTTGTTTATCGCTGGGGGTGATTATCCTACACGAGCAGATGAAAATGCTAATTTTCATTGAGCGTTTACAAATTAAATATAGTAAGTTTTCAACTTTGGATTTTTGCTTCTACCTCCTGCTCTGCTTCTCAAGCGGATGTCTCAAGCGAAACAAACAAAACGTTGAGGATGTCTCAACCGAGACAAATCATTGTTGAGGATGTCTCATAGAGGACCAAAGACCAAGGATCCTCAAGATATCTTTGGCTTTTTCCTCTTGATATCTCTTTATGCTGGCTCTGGCGGGCAACTTTTATTATCTCCCCGAAAACCCCGAACTTTATTATCCCTGTGTGTTTATTATCCGCGGCATTCGGTTATTTTTGATTTTCCGTCGAAAGTGCCCCTGTAGGGGGACACGCCCGACTTCAGGCCAGCAGGCGCTCGCGTCGATCCCTCGCAGGGCATGCGCCGTGCGGCGCGTGGGCCAGAGACCCAGACCTCCTCGCGCTGCGACAGAAATTACGACGGGAGGTGTTCCGTGCACGCCTCGGCTGCACGCACGTCTTCTGTGTCCTCGGTGGTGCAGGATGCTCCTCGGAAGGTCCTGGCCGCCGAGAGAGCATGGTCCGAGCGATGCCGAGTGCTCGTGCCTCCTCACGGCGTTGCCATGTCTGTCGCTGCGTCAGGTCTCAGGGGAGACGGAAGGCGCGAGACGGCTTCCTGTGGGGGAAGGCGGAGGTGTCTTCTCAAGGTGATGAGAAAAAACAAGACTCAGATGGAGGTGTTTCTCAGTTTTCGGCTCCGCTGGGCCCCGGGACCATCAGAAAACGGCAGGGAATGAAAAACCCGCCCCTGGGAATCTTATGAGGAGTACGACGACCCTAATCCCAGACTTTGTGGCTGGTCTGCCACAGAATTTGGGGCCCAACTCGGGGATATACGACGAGGGGGTATCCATCATCGATGGGGGTGCGCCCAAATAGCTCACTGGGGGGGATCCCCGAGTTCCCCCTCCTCAGTGGCCCTCTCGCTGGGGGGCAACTCGGAGATCGGGACAAAAAATCACCTGCGGGGGTCGGTCGAGCGTCTGGGGGCCGACGCCATGAGAAAGTCATGACGTCGGGGGCCTGGCTAAGACGAAGCCAAGACCGGGACCGAATCGGACAAGGATACATGAATCGGAGATCTCTAAGATCGGGCAGCTTTGGAGAAGATTCGACAACACGCAAAAGTGACCCGAGGCAAGAGTGACCACCTCTGGCGCGCGGCTTCAAAAAGCCGCGACAGGCCCAAATTTCAAGCGCGCGGGCCAAAGCTGGGGCCACCGCTGCGGCCCCCACCGAAGGTCACTCCGGCGAAGGCTCACTCTTACGCATAGTGAACGTTTTCTTATTCGGAGTTTCGACATGCGGCGCGGAGCGTGGCGCCGCCGTGGGCCAAGCGCCAATCCAATACATCCGCGCGGAGCTCCGAGAGTTTAGTGGAGGCCAGTCCACAAGAAGCCTTCCACAAGAAACCCAACCCTGAGACCCCAGGACGTCCATCGATTTTTGGTATGGGAGCGTCACGCTTTCCATGGGAAAGCCATCGAGACCCAAGAAACCCAGAGCACTCTGGAGGCAAGCAGGGTGCTTCTTGGCATGGGCCCCCACTGTACATCCGCGCGGAGCTCCGAAAGTTTATGCTTATGTCAGCCTCTGTTCCTCGATCGGCGACTCCGAGGGACGTGGTTTGCAAAGATTTGGAATCCCAAAACGGTGCGGTGACAGACCGTACGGTGACCTCGAAATCCCGCAAGACCTCACCGCACGGTCCGTCACTGCACGGTCTCGGGGCCCTGGAGGCCCCCATCGCCCGAGACATCCTCGGAGAGGGACTCGAGTCGCAAAACCGTGCGGTGGCCCCGAATCCCCACCGACTCGCCGCACGGGTGTGGTCACCACACCGTGTGGGGGCCCCCGAAAAGAGGCTGGCTTGCAGCGCGCACCGCGGGGGGCGGGCGAGGCCACGGCGCTGCGCCCCGAGGAGGCCCGACGAGGACAGCGCCGTGGCCCCCGAGCCCCAACGGCGCAGACCGCGAACCGCACCCCGGGAGGACCTCGGCAGAGTTCTCCGCGGCGCCCTCGAGGAGGCCCGACGAGGGCAGCGCCGTGGCCCCCCGAGGCCCCAACGAAGCGCAGACCGCGAAGCGCACCCCCGGGGCGTAGCCGCACCCCCTGCGCCGACTCGCGTCCTGCCTGGGGCCCGCCCGAGGCCCGTCTGGGCCCTCTGCCGGCTGCAGTGCTGAGGAGGAGGAGGAGGAGGAGGAGGAGGAGGAGGAGGATGGGAGGAGGAGGAGGAGGAGGAGGAGGAGAGGAGGAGGAGGAGGAGAGGAGGTAGGAGGAGGAGGAGGAGGAGGAGAGGAGGGAGGAGGAGGAGGAGGGAGGGAGGGAGGATGAGGATGAGGATGAGGATGAGAATGAGGATGAGGATGATGATGAGGAGGAGGAGGAGGAGAAGGAGGAGGAGGAGGAGGGGATGAGGAGGAGGAGGAGGAGGAGGGGGAGTAGGAGGAGGAGGGGAGCGCCGAGGTGCTGGGCCACCCAGCCTCGCGCACCGCGCCCTGCGGTGCGCGGCCCACGGCTCTCCTCGCGCGCTCGCGCCGCCCCCAGCTGTTTGTCGGGTGGTGCTAGAAGTACCCCTGGCCCAAGGTACCCCCAGGATTCTTGGGGTGGCCCAGATGGTCTCCAGGGCACCCCTCACGAGGCCCAGAGGGCCCCCAGGGCTCCAAAATGGAGCGAAAAGCTGGGGGCACTGTGGGCCAGGGGCACTTCTAGCAACAGTTTGGACGCCCGTCATGGGTACGGAAAAAAGGCACGATGCCCAGAAACACATGTTGTCCAAAACCGACAGCGGCCGCTGTTGGGCAGGCAGTAATTATCAAGCGGACAACGTCCGCGGCAACGCCGACAGCGAGTCCCGCTCAAAAAGGACAAGAGATGCTGCCCCTCTGAGGGGGGGCGGGGGGCGTCGGGCTGCGCGTTGCTTCCAAACCCGGGGCAGCAGAGAGGACAAGCTGACCCAGGTTTGTGCTGCCCCCGTGACGTGCGCCCCGATGACCGAAGGCGAGATCCTTTCGGGCTGAGACACAGTCACACCACTGGTCATGAGCAGGGAATCGGCCCAGTGACTCTCTAAGTGACAGCCTGAGATCTCCCAGCCAAGCAGCTGACCCAAGGTCTCCATAGTCCTCGGAGCTCCCCAGAGGTCCATGGAGGAATTCGGAATAAGAATAACAGTGAAAATACGAATAATAGAAAGAAAAGGAATAGTTATACTTAAAATCATAACCACGATCAACATCATCATCATAATCAGAATCGCAATAACGAACACAATAATAAGGATGCTAGTAGTGAGTAAAAATAGGGATAATCACCATCATCATCCTCATCCTCAGAATCAGTATCATCATTATCATCATCATCAGCAGCATCAACATCA